TACTAATATGCAACACAATAAACCGTTGTAACAAACTAATTATCAAATGATGTTTAATTCAAAAACCACAAATAAACACAAGTGACAGCTTTGGTGCTGCCAAAATGCCTAGTACCAAACCAATCACAATCATTCGATGATCGGCACAGAATACAATTGCTTGAATTTAGAGTTCCCACAAGAACTACAAGGAATAATAGTCTATTTGCAATTCAGCTTCATCTCACTAATTATGCTTCTCATGTGCCTCTACCTAAACTAATGAGACTGGCTAATCAATACAATTTAGATATCACTGGGTGTTCAATTAGCCAATTTCAGAATGATCTAAAGAGAATGTTTTTAATATCTTTAGTATATTTCATTTCATATATTTAATGTTATAGTTTTTGTACCTACATTTTATAATGTATCTAAGCTATTTTATGTAATTTATGTATACTAATGGCTCTTTCCGTAATATATATTTATTTATATATTTGCTAAAAGTCCTCTCTTTCCTTGTCTAAGATTTAAATGAAGCTACCTGTTAAAAAAATGGTATTTATTCTCACCAAAACTGACTAGCTCATGTTTGGCACATGATGTAAATGTGCAATGCGAAAGGAGTGGACACTTTTAGTATTGTCATAGCATCTCCTCTTTATTCTATCTCAATAAATTTATCTAACAGTTCTAAAGCCATGTTTCCAATAACGTGGAATGGAATAAATCAAGCTCCTTTTACCACTGATGGAATATAAACATGTTGGCATGTCACACGAACCTCATTTTCAGGATTCAGCTTTTCCAGTTTAATTTTGAGCTCATTTTGTTAAACTGTTTAATGATTTTGTAAACTAATTTGCAGCTGTTTTTGGACCGTTCCAGTTTTATTAATATTCTGATATGCAAAATTTGCGGAAATTACATAGCTTTACATTTTAGATAGATAGAACTTGTAAAATAAAGTTGATCTCTTGGAATACTTCTGTATAAGTCCTAATCTGGGTAATTATTGCGAAGACGCCCTTTTCTTAAAAATACATTTTTTTTTACAAAACTTACATTTCCGTCTTGGTAAAAATGCAGTTTAGAGTGAATCCGCGCATTACTAAATTTTTTAGTTTATGTGGAAGTATATGTCATTGGAGGCTTAAAATACAAATATTACATCTATAATAATATATAATAATAATGCTCTCCCTAATTCACCCCCTTACGAGTGAATTTCAACCCCTGAAGTCGACTGAACGACTTGTGTAGGGGAAGAGACGGCTATTATTATTTGCCGTGGCGCTCCGGGGCGACTTAAGGATGATTGATGGTGCCATTTGACTTACAGGTGAGGAAAACCCGGAAACCTCACCCACCATCATCGAGACGATAATGTATGGCGATTTTTATAATCTGCATGTCATATCAATAGAAACTGAATTTCTATTAATACGGCACACATCAAATCCTAAACCGAACCAAGCAATTTAATTAAAAATCCACATGGTCTGGTCTGGGATTCGAAGCCCAGCAGTCTCGGACTCATAAACTTGCCTATAAATGAATATAAGCGCGTTAGACCGCTACGCCATCGACCCGATAATTTGATTTAATTGATAAATTTTTTATCTAAACCGTTTATTGTAAACCTATCAGAATTCAAAACAATAAAAAGTTCCCTGACACACACCATAAAAGCACACTCGTCCTTCCACGTCCTAACTACCTTAGAAGCGGGCACTTTTGGTTTGATGTTTCGATATTCGCCTGTGCGCTCTTTACAGTTCCATCGTAAGAGCACGCTTCGCTCGTCCCACTCACCTGCTAATCGCTACAGATGCAAGCGAGCCTGCCCGGCTTGCGCGCTCTTGTTACACCTACACCCTAATAGCACTGAACGCTTGTCCCACCCACTTCCTAACCACTGCACAAGCGAGCAGCGCGCCCGGCCGACGTTTCGAAATTCGCGCGAATTTCAAAACGTCGGCCGGGCGCGGCCTTTTTACACCTACACCATAAGAGCACGGAACGCTCTTCCCATCCACTTCCTAACCATTACAGAAGAAAGCGAGCGAAGCAAGTGCGCCCGCCCAACGTTTCGAAATTCGCGCGCCAAAAACGTCGACCGGGTGCGCTTTTTCCATCTGTTCATCCCACGTGGGTCCTGACAAGTACAGGAGAGAACAAACCCTTTTTACATCTAAAACATTTTGTCCTTACGCATGCGCAGATAATACGAGAATATAATCGGTTATAGACTTTTCATTTCAATTTGTGCTGTGTCCAGGCCGTTGGAGTCCATGCCGGTCGGTGTAGCTAGGTATGGGTTGGTATTTTCTGGTGACGGCTAAGCCGTCACCATACGAGAAGTCTTTGCTTCGTCTTCTTGTTGTATATTCACGGGCTGACATGCGCTCGGAATGGGTTACTAGAGTACCACTTTGTCTTCTGTAGTAGTTAGGAGGTGAGTGGAACGAGCGTAGTGTGCTCTTATGGTGTAGATGGAAAAGAGCGCGCCCGGCCGACGTTTCGAAATTCGCGCGAATTTCGAAACATCGGCCGGGCGCGCTCGCTTCTGTAATGGTTAGGAAGTGGGTAGGATGAGCGTTTCGTGTTCTTATGGTATAAGGGCAAAAAGCGCGCACCGGGCCGACGTTTCGAAAATGGCGCGAATTTCGAAACGTCGGCCGGGCGTACTCGCTTGCTTCTATAGTAGTTAGGAAGTGGGTGGGACAAGCGTTCAGTGCTATTAGGATGTAGGTGTAACAAGAGCGCGCAAGTTCGGGCCCGGCTGACGTTTCGAAATTCTTGTGAATTTCCAAACGTCGGCCGAGCGGGCTCGCTTACATCTGTAGCAGTTAGCAGGTGAGTGGGACGAGCGAAGCGTGCTCTTACGATGGAACTGTAAAAAGGGCACAGGCTAATTTCTGAAACATCAAACCAAAAGTGCCCGCTTCTAAGGTAGTTAGGACGTGGAAGAACGAGTGTGCTTTTATGGTGTGTGTCAGGGAACTTTTTATTGTTTTGAATTCTGATAGGTTTACAATAAACGGTTTAGATAAAAAAATTATCAATTAAATAAAATTATCAGTATGTCAGAAATATACCAGGCGCACTATTATTTCAAAATAACGCAAGGATGTATCGAGCTAATAAAGTTAGCACATTGCAGTTTTAACAATTTTATTTCAAATTTAATAAAGTACGAAAACTTATTTAAAAAATATATTCTAGCGTAATTTTGGAGTAATGGTCAACCCAGTATATTTCTTATTAACTTGATTTAATTCATAAAATTTTATTTAAAACCGTTTTTTAATATTAGTATGTTGAGTTACTTTTTGTACACTCTGTATATAAATTTTGACTAATCCTTAACATTTCAAATTTCTCAATATTTCTTTAAAAAGAGTATTTAGATAAGAAGGCCGTTGTATTTAATTTTTTTACCTACTACTTACCTTTTTATTTAAAAAATAAAAATTTTTAAACGTAATTTAAAAAAATGAGTGTATCAATGTACGTTTTAAATGGTATAACTAAAAAGGTATTTCTTTATAAGCTTGCCAGAACATACTTATATTACAAGAGCATTAAATAAAGAAATTTTCTTTATAAGGTTTGGTTATGCTGGTGACGTCATATGTTACATTTAACGAGGCATTTCTTTATAAGCTTACTAGAACATACCATAATAAAAAATAAAATCAAAACATTCTAAAATTTCTTAAAATTCAAATTCCGTTTAGAAATCCCCAAACTTAAATTAAATTTGACATATGACATTAAATAATAGGTTATGTGTGACGTCACCACAGTAACCACAATACTGTAACCAAGTATGTTGTGGTAAGATTATAAAGAAATGCCTTAAAAGTATCCACCGAGTAACTTCACAGTTAACCCAGCACAAATTGAACTAATTCGACTATCCCCAAGGCCCCAAATATCCACCATTGTGGGATTATTAACGGGGCACTGCTTGCTGAAACACCTTCATGTAATGGGATTACACAATGATCCCACTACCATGTGATCTTCGAATGCAAAGCTCTTACTGGGCGACGTTTCATCCTTTTCGGCCTAGAACCGGAAAGAACGCCCCAGGACCACTTGGTAGGGAACTTATTAAAACTAACCAAAGAGACAGGACTATTCCAAAGATAGTACCTGAATACGGGGAAAGCAGGGGAATACAATAGACCCAAGAGGCTGACTAGTGTCATTTATCAAACAAATAAATTCACTTGATTCAAAAAAGTTTAAAAAACTTTTGGATAACACAAAGTAATTGTGTTTCAAAGTTTTTGAAAAGTACATTGTTTATTACTTTATAGATGAGGTAATATTAATATTTAAAAATTATGTACAATTCAATCAAAATGGATAAATAAATCATCGAGTGTGACTGGTAATAAATTAATAGAACTGATTTTGGAAATGTTATATCAAAAATAAGGTATTTTTATATTTCTTTTTCATTGATTTTAGTTGAACACTTGGCAACACCGTACTAATTTGTCTTGACAGAACATGACAGATATAATTCTAAATTCTAATGAATAAGTTTACACAAATGATCATTTAATGATCCTCATAAGCCTTTAATATGTAAATTTTTTAAAAAACAGTAATTTATGGGGTTTCTGGTGGTATATTTGAAAAATACTCGCTGTCCTAAAGACTAAAATGTAAGTTTTGTAATTACCCTAATCTGGCCTGAATTCCAGAGTCTGGTCTGGCTAGCAGCCAGAATTACAGTTCCGACCGGATCTGCTAAATACTGTTTCAGCACATATAGGTCTTGGACCTAGGTGCATTAATTTTGTTTGTACTTAATATTGACTTATTGTAATGTAAATAAGTGTAAACGGACCCAAAATAGTTATGTGCAGTGTGTTTCAAAGTGTTTATAAGCTTTCTGTAAAATTCCAATAATAATATTATCCACTGTTCATGTTTCATGGTACTTACATTATCAATTTTATTATTTCCCTAACATATTTTTCAATGTAAAAACTTACCTTCGAAAAATACCCTACAATATGAGCCCCTTGCTTGTCTACCTCGCACAAAATATAAAAAAGAAATGGCTCTACATCAAAATACAGCGTTTTATGATCCAAAAATAATTTCGCCAATAGACACAAATTTTGGCAATAGACTTTATGATCCTTCCCATCCACTTCATACACTGATAAAGTCCCTTTTCTATATATCTCCTTGCCTACAGGCTGTCGCTGTGTACATTCACTCTAAAATAAAAAAAACTGTAAATGCAGAGCAATTAGTCTATTATAACATACCTACCATGTGATATTTATAACTCTTTTCTAGTCTCATATATTTTAAACAATATTCACATATCCATAATTTACTCTGTCTTCCATAATCTTCTGGGAAAGGACTAAAATACCATGTATCTATTTCAAATCGGCCTATTTGAATTTTATCTATATATTTGACTTTTGTAATTTGTTCATGTTCCTTCTCTAAAGCTGCTGTGGTTGGATCCATTTCTGCATAACTATAACACAATACAACCAGCTAAATGTAGCCCCATATTTGAGGACTCCAATGCACAAAATATTTTTAAGATAAAATAAAAATAATGCTCACGTCTTTTGTATGTGATTGATTTCATCATGCCGCCTTTTTTGGTTCCTAGTTATCTTCCGATCAGAATTATCTGATAATAAATCGGTAATTACTGGTCTATCCCTCCAAACTTTCATATCCAACATAGCTTTTTGACCACATTCGGTCATATTAAATGTCGAAGACATTATCCTACCTCTAGGAACCTACATACAAATAAAACAAACGTTGCAAGAACCTTTATTATTTATTTACAAAAAAACCCTTACCCATTCATCCAATCTTCTATTATATCCCTCATAATGTACATAATATTCATATTGTCTGTCCAAATCACTATATCTTGACTGAATGATTTCTGCTGGGTCTACAAACAAACTACACTAAATTTTTCGAAGAAAAACGCTTTTAAGAACGATAATACCATTAAAATAAAAATTTTGCGTTATCCCGCAAAAAAATTGTTAAGCTTAGTTATGCTAAATAACAAACTTACGCCAGGTGTCGTCAGACCGTCTAACCAAATAATGTTCTCCGATATCAAGGGGTTGTTCTTCCGCACTTTCACTGTCTTCATCTTGTAGGTTTGGTTTGATTTCTATTTCGGCTTTTTTTGGCATTATTTCTTCACAAAATTCTTGGCTTTTAAAATCCGCCATATTTCATATCAAATCACTGTCAATGTCAAATTCTTCTTTTTAGACAACTAGTTTGTAGTTTGTTTTCAAGTCGACTGTCGTTCAATTTACTTGTAGACTTGTACTATTTTGCCATCACGTATTATTTAACAGGTCTTAACACGTTAACTGCGAATGTGCGTCACGTAGTAGTATGAATAAAAATTATGTAATTATTTGCTTTTACTTAAAAATTAGTAACAAATCGTGCTTATTTTTTTAAAAATAAAATTTCTGGACCCTAATTAAAGTTCTTAGAGGCTTTACCAAATAATTAGTATTCCCCTATTGTATTTATCGGAAAGAAAGCACAATTTGTTACCAAATAAAAGCAAATGCTTAATACCCATGTGGCACTGATCTATATAATACAGATCAGTGCCATGTGGTATATATAAAAGCCTGTCATTATTTTTTTTGTCAATGTGCGGCACAAGTATGCAGGATTACCAGACGGCAGGAAATGTCCGGACACGTCCGGAATCCGGAATATGCTCCGGGAATTATAAATTGTCTGGAGTTTTTAGAAAAATACTGTTACGCAGCACCCTCCCAGCAGGGACCCGGACCGAAATGAAATTGACGGTTCGGTTCGGTTCCGGTTCTTATCACATTTAAAAAAATCCGGTCTGGTACGGTTCCGGTTCTCAAAAAAAAATTTCGGTTCGGTTCGGTCCGGTTCTACCAAATTAGGCATTCCAACGACCTGTCAAACAATACCTGCCAGTGGGAAGGTCTCGTATATCTAAGGGGGTAGCGACATAGTATTTTTATTCGAAATATCAATCGCCAATCCTGCCAGTTTTTAAAAAAATGTACAAACAGTTTTTTTAATTAATATTTTTATAGTGTTCGATATAAAATATTTAAATGTAATCCATTATTCACGATTTTACGTATTGTATATAGAATACGCATCGTATGTCGCAACCGTCAGATCTACCAAACCTGCCCACTGGCAATTCACTTGTTTGGAATGCCTAATTTTTTTCGGTTCGGTTCAGTTATTTCGGTTCGATTGATTTTTTTATAGTAGGTATGTACAGGGTTATTCATTATAAATTACCCACCCCTTATTATCGTTATTGCATATTGAAAAAAAAAAGTTTCAAATAAAATTTGTGTGGTTATAACTGTTTTTTGTTAAAATTCTATCAAATGTACAGTAGCGTGCAGATTTTCGTGGATACCTTGTATATTTTTACATTTTTATAATCCTCTCAACGAGCTGATTTCACACTTGATGTCTAATCTGGATAATAAACATCTACAGCCACCTGAAAAATCACATTTTTTTTTACTCAAAAGTCAGATGAGATTTCCAATTTCCAAAAATGTGATTTTTCATGTGGCTGTAGATCTTTTATTATCCAGATTAGACATCAAGTATGATACATCGTTGAAATCAACTCATCGAGAGGATTATAAAAATGTAAAAATATACAGGGTATCCCATTTAAATTTTTTTTTGGAACAAGTTGCGTTTTCACGCGTCTGCCTCTCTACTTGTCCGCACTCACAATTAGGGGAGTTATACATTCCTATCCGGTGAAGGTGTTCCGGGGTGGTACAAAATGTCCTACTAGCCTAGGTCTATTATTGTAGTTTGTAGTAGCTGAATTAATATTGACGTTACCTACTTTCACTTTATTTGTCTTTTTTCCGATGTGTGGTGTGGTGTGTGGTTTTATTATTCAGCTACTTTCAGTCATAAAAACCATGGGGTTCAGTGTTCAGTGATTCAGTGAGTCTTTACTGGTCACGTGAATCAGATATTCCAGCCAACAAAAAAGCATATGAAAAAGACACAAGAACCGAAAAAAAAACCGAAAAAAACGAAATAATTCATTTTTATTTCGGTTCGGTACGGTCCGGTCCATAAAAAATATTTTTAATATATTATCGGTTCGGTTCCGGTCCATCTAAAACATTTCGGTTCCGGTCCGGTTTTCGGTTAATAACGGTTCGGTCCGGGTCCCTGCCTCCCAGACAGCACACCAAATCCCAGAGATATCCACAGAATATCTTTTGTGGATATCCAATATATCCACAGGATATCAGAAATATTCTGTGGATCTAATATGGATATCCAAATGTCCGTCTATATCCAGAATATAAAAGATATCTTAATGGATATTCAGCAAAATATCTAATGGGTATCTTCCAGAAAATACAAGTAAATCCCAGATATATCCACAGAATATATTTTGTGGATATTCAATATATCCAATATGGATATCCAACCAAATGTCCGTCTATATCCCAGGATATAGAAGATATTCGGATATTCAGCAAAATATTTTATGGGTATCTTTAGTAGAGGTTCATAAGTAACCAATGATTATTGAATAACGTCGAAAGAAAATAGCAAAGATAAAAAATATTTTCAACACTCAAAATATTTTCAACAATCTGCCTTTGATTTTGCCCACTAAGGAGTCTCCAGTCCAGTCTCTAATGGAGTGATTGGGACACACATTACGATCGAACTCAATTACGGCGGGTCAAGTATGAGTAGATGCGATAGTGGTATCGCCATCTATACTTAGTAAGCAGAATCAAATCACATCTAGTGGATATCCACGATGGTTTGCGTTCGCGCCTAGACTTTGATATATTTAGTGGATGTTCATGGAATGTTGAATACACCTTAAAAAAATTAATTTTAAATATCTGAACGGTACTATTAGCCACAATGGCGAGCACAATGGCGTAATTTTTTAATAATTTGCTATATAATTACTATTATTTATGGACATTTGCATGTCTATAAATTACATTTCATGGATATAAAATAGATATCTACCATGGACTGGACATTCAGTGGATATTGGGATGTTCAGTAGATATCCAAAGGATTTGGTGTGCTGTCTGGGCTGTAGCGTGCTGCGGTCGTCATAAGTAAAGGTACGAGTAAATAAAGAAGATAGAATAGTCCAGAAATCTCTCGAAATGTCATTCCTTGTCAAAGAAAAGTCCGGATTGTTCGAGAAGGTTCTAGAAGGTCAAGGCAAGCTATATAAGTCAACGACCTGACGTCAGAGGCAGTTTTATGATAGACGTTAAACGTTAATGTTATCAGTTGGATTTGTATCAGTTGAATTGAAATAAATTGTCATACCAAAAACCTGCGTAACATTGGTGACAGCCGTGGGATACAAAGTAAAAGTTCATGGTAAATACTAGATCCACTGAGTACGAAGCAGGCATGGATCCAGCATGGTTTTTGAAGATGGAGGAGGAAAAGGAAAGGCGTAAGAAGGAAGAGGAGGAGAAAAAGGAAAGGTGAGAAGAGGAGAAGGAAAGGTGTAGGAATGAAGAAGAGGAGAAGGAGAGACGCAGGATGGATGAAGAAAAAGAGAAGGAAGAGAGGCGTGGAAAAGCATAGGTAGAAATTATTAATGGTTTGCTGCAAATTCAAGGAAACCTTAAGCAAGAGGTTGGTCAGCTTAAAATTAGAGTAGATCTGTTAGAGCAACAACAAGAGCATCTAAAAGCTAATTTAGAGAAACAGCAAGAGAATTTGAAAGCTAATTTAGAACAACAAGAACAGGCTAGAGTAGAGTTGGAAAGGCAAATTAGAGCTGAAATGACTGAGCTAGAAAAAAGAATTCACAGTCAAGCTTCAGTAAACAGCATTGAAGCTGCAAACACTACTACCTGCTCGTCTTCATCCATAACCGAACCAAGCCACATTCGAATCCCAGTTTCACAAAACTATACTAGCAAGACCCTTAAGCCACCCACGTTTGACGGCCAGACAACATGAAAATTATATCGACTCTAATTTGAAGCTGCAGCTAGAGCCAATGGCTGGACCGAGAAAGAGATGGCGGCGTCATTGATAGTGTCACTGCGAGGTCAGGCAGCAACCGTTTTACAGTTACTTCCTCAAGAGGAACCCAATTATTCATCTCTCGTGCAAGCTTTGGAGACAAGATATGGCCAGCAGCATTTGCAATGGGTATTTCAAAGCCAGCTAAAGATTCGTAGTCAGAAACATAATGAGAGTCTACAGGAATCCGAGGCTGATATAAGAAGATTGATTCATCTGGCCTATCCACAGGTGCCGAAAGATTTCCAAGAACAACTCGGAATACAAGCATTCATTGATGGACTACAAGATGTGTAAATGCAGCAAGTCCTTCGTCTACAACATCACAAGACGCTGAGGAAGAAACTGATTGCAGCCCAAGAATATGAAGCGGTAAAACTCATATCCAGATCTTCTCGCGCAAAAGTGAGAGAAATTAAATCCCAGGAAAGTGAGGAGGCCAATAGTAATGCTATTCCCCAAATCTTAAATATCCTACGAAATATGCAACGAAACAGCCAAAATGGAATCGGACACCTTTAAAGAACCTGTAGAAGCATATGGCTCATTCTATAAATCAAGAATCAGCGAATGAGACCAAAAAATCACATAGATCAATCTTTCCAAGCCCATCACTAAGACCAACAAGAATTAATTACAGCTATGCGTCCCGAAGAAGCTAATCACCCACACCGAGCCGGCTTTCTAACAATAACCAGAAAGTGGAGCATCGAGGAGGTCTCCATAGCAACGCAGACATTCTCTTCGGGCAACCCCGTTTAGAGGAACAATGCTGGTATGGTAAAAGTTTCGAAGAACGAGAAAAACCGGTTGATAAAGTTACTCTTCGGGCCACCACTATCGAGGCAGAGGGCGACGAAGAAGAAATACCCTTGAAAGTCTGAGACAGGGACAGAAGAAAGGCAATAACTTAAAGGTTGTCCGAGAATGGCTCAAAAATAATACTTGGCAAGAGGTAGCCAAATGCAGTAGAACTATAAAAGGCTACTGGACCCAGTGGGATTCCCTGTATCTTCACGATGGCCTATTGCACCGGAAGTAGGAGAGCCCCGATGGAGTACATGCAGTCCGCCAAGTGATACTGCCGAGGTCACAGGTGAGAAAAGTATTGAAGGAGCTTCATAGCAGACGTTCAGGAGGACACTTTGATACTAAAAGGACACTGGCACGAGTTCGGGAAAGATTTTATTGGGTCAATTGCCGACGGGATGTAGCGG